CCCATTTCATCATTCCTTGACATTCTCCTCACTTGTTATTTCTTGATTTACTCTCCTTTTACCATTCCATGCTTTTTCCTTTTTGCCACTCTGCTCTGTCTGTCTTGAATTCATAAAGTCTAGGTACCCCAGTGAAGAGTTCATCTGAACAATTACCGTGAAAATATTTATAGAAAAGGCACAGGGAAGCTTCATTACGGCAGTGGGAAAGTGACCAAAGCCAGGATGCCTATTCCATGCAATTCTCCCATTTCATCATTCCTTGACATTCTCCTCACTTGTTATTTCTTGATTTACTCTCCTTTTACCATTCCATGCTTTTTCCTCTTTTGCCACTCTGCTCCTGTCTTGAATTCATAAAGTCTAGGTACCCTAGTGAAGAGTTCATCTGAACAATTACCGTGAAAATATTTATAGAAAAGGCACAGGGAAGCTTCATTACGTCAGCGGAAACCAAGTGACCAAAGAGTTCAGGATGCCTATTCCATGGGAAAGTGACAATTCCTCCCATTTCATCATTCCTTGACATTCTCCTCACTTGTTATTTCTTGATTTACTCTCCTTTTACCATTCCATGCTTTTTTCCTCTTTTGCCACTCTGCTCCTGTCTTGAATTCATAAAGTCTAGGTACCCTAGTGAAGAGTTCATCTGAACAATTACCGTGAAAATATTTATAGAAAAGGCACAGGGAAGCTTCATTACGTCAGTGGGAAAGTGACCAAAGCCAGGATGCCTATTCCATGCAATTCTCCCATTTCATCATTCCTTGACATTCTCCTCACTTGTTATTTCTTGATTTACTCTCCTTTTACCATTCCATGCTTTTTCCTCTTTTGCCACTCTGCTCCTGTCTTGAATTCATAAAGTCTAGGTACCTAGTGAAGAGTTCATCTGAACAATTACCGTGAAAATATTTATAGAAAAGGCACAGGGAAGCTTCATTACGTCAGTGGGAAAGTGACCAAAGCCAGGATGCCTATTCCATGCAATTCTCCCATTTCATCATTCCTTGACATTCTCCTCACTTGTTATTTCTTGATTTACTCTCCTTTTACCATTCCATGCTTTTTCCTCTTTTGCCACTCTGCTCCTGTCTTGAATTCATAAAGTCTAGGTACCCTAGTGAAGAGTTCATCTGAACAATTACCGTGAAAATATTTATAGAAAAGGCACAGGAAGCTTCATTACGTCAGTGGGAAAGTGACCAAAGCCAGGATGCCTATTCCATGCAATTCTCCCATTTCATCATTCCTTGACATTCTCCTCACTTGTTATTTCTTGATTTACTCTCCTTTTACCATTCCATGCTTTTTCATTCCTCTTTTGCCACTCTGCTCCTGTCTTGAATTCATCTTGAAAGTCTAGGTACCCTAGTGAAGAGTTCATCTGAACAATTACCGTGAAAATATTTATAGAAAAGGCACAGGGAAGCTTCATTACGGCAGTGGGAAAGTGACCAAAGCCAGGATGCCTATTCCATGCAATTCTCCCATTTCATCATTCCTTGACATTCTCCTCACTTGTTATTTCTTGATTTACTCTCCTTTTACCATTCCATGCTTTTTCCTCTTTTGCCACTCTGCTCCTGTCTTGAATTCATAAAGTCTAGGTACCCTAGTGAAGAGTTCATCTGAACAATTACCGTGAAAATATTTATAGAAAAGGCACAGGGAAGCTTCATTACGGCAGTGGGAAAGTGACCAAAGCCAGGATGCCTATTCCATGCAATTCTCCCATTTCATCATTCCTTGACATTCTCCTCACTTGTTATTTCTTGATTTACTCTCCTTTTACCATTCCATGCTTTTTCCTTTTTGCCACTCTGCTCCTGTCTTGAATTCATAAAGTCTAGGTACCCTAGTGAAGAGTTCATCTGAACAATTACCGTGAAAATATTTATAGAAAAGGCACAGGGAAGCTTCATTACGGCAGTGGGAAAGTGACCAAAGCCAGGATGCCTATTCCATGCAATTCTCCCATTTCATCATTCCTTGACATTCTCCTCACTTGTTATTTCTTGATTTACTCTCCTTTTACCATTCCATGCTTTTTCCTCTTTTGCCACTCTGCTCCTGTCTTGAATTCATAAAGTCTAGGTACCCTAGTGAAGAGTTCATCTGAACAATTACCGTGAAAATATTTATAGAAAAAGCACAGGAAGCTTCATTACGGCAGTGGGAAAGTGACCAAAGCCAGGATGCCTATTCCATGCAATTCTCCCATTTCATCATTCCTTGACATTCTCCTCACTTGTTATTTCTTGATTTACTCTCCTTTTACCATTCCATGCTTTTTCCTCTTTTGCCACTCTGCTCCTGTCTTGAATTCATAAAGTCTAGGTACCCTAGTGAAGAGTTCATCTGAACAATTACCGTGAAAATATTTATAGAAAAAGGCACAGGGAAGCTTCATTACGTCAGTGGGAAAGTGACCAAAGCCAGGATGCCTATTCCATGCAATTCTCCCATTTCATCATTCCTGACATTCTCCTCACTTGTTATTTCTTGATTTACTCTCCTTTTACCATTCCATGCTTTTTCCTCTTTTGCCACTCTGCTCCTGTCTTGAATTCATAAAGTCTAGGTACCCTAGTGAAGAGTTCATCTGAACAATTACCGTGAAAATATTTATAGAAAAGGCACAGGGAAGCTTCATTACGGCAGTGGGAAAGTGACCAAAGCCAGGATGCCTATTCCATGCAATTCTCCCATTTCATCATTCCTTGACATTCTCCTCACTTGTTATTTCTTGATTTACTCTCCTTTTACCATTCCATGCTTTTTCCTCTTTTGCCACTCTGCTCCTGTCTTGAATTCATAAAGTCTAGGTACCCTAGTGAAGAGTTCATCTGAACAATTACCGTGAAAATATTTATAGAAAAGGCACAGGAAGCTTCATTACGTCAGTGGGAAAGTGACCAAAGCCAGGATGCCTATTCCATGCAATTCTCCCATTTCATCATTCCTTGACATTCTCCTCACTTGTTATTTCTTGATTTACTCTCCTTTTACCATTCCATGCTTTTTCCTCTTTTGCCACTCTGCTCCTGTCTTGAATTCATAAAGTCTAGGTACCCTAGTGAAGAGTTCATCTGAACAATTACCGTGAAAATATTTATAGAAAAGGCACAGGGAAGCTTCATTACGTCAGTGGGAAAGTGACCAAAGCCAGGATGCCTATTCCATGCAATTCTCCCATTTCATCATTCCTTGACATTCTCCTCACTTGTTATTTCTTGATTTACTCTCCTTTTACCATTCCATGCTTTTTCCTCTTTTGCCACTCTGCTCCTGTCTTGAATTCATAAAGTCTAGGTACCCTAGTGAAGAGTTCATCTGAACAATTACCGTGAAAATATTTATAGAAAAGGCACAGGAAGCTTCATTACGGCAGTGGGAAAGTGACCAAAGCCAGGATGCCTATTCCATGCAATTCTCCCATTTCATCATTCCTTGACATTCTCCTCACTTGTTATTTCTTGATTTACTCTCCTTTTACCATTCCATGCTTTTTCCTCTTTTGCCACTCTGCTCCTGTCTTGAATTCATAAAGTCTAGGTACCCTAGTGAAGAGTTCATCTGAACAATTACCGTGAAAATATTTATAGAAAAGGCACAGGGAAGCTTCATTACGGCAGTGGGAAAGTGACCAAAGCCAGGATGCCTATTCCATGCAATTTTCCCATTTCATCATTCCTTGACATTCTCCTCACTTGTTATTTCTTGATTTACTCTCCTTTTACCATTCCATGCTTTTTCCTCTTTTTGCCACTCTGCTCCTGTCTTGAATTCATAAAGTCTAGGTGAAGAGTTCATCTGAACAATTAGTGAAAATATTTATAGAAAAGTTCATCTGAACAAAGCCAGGATGCCTATTCCATGAAAATCATTTTGACATTCTCCTCACTTGTTAGAAAAGGCCCTCTGCTCCTGTCTTGAATTCAGGGTAAGTGAAGAGTTCATCTGAACATTACGTCAGTGGGAAAGTGAAAGTGAAGCCAGGATGCCTATTCCATGCAATTCTCCCATTTCATCATTCCTTGACATTCTCCTCACTTGTTATTTCTTGATTTACTCTCCTTTTTACCATTCCATGCTTTTTCCTCTTTTGCCACTCTGCTCCTGTCTTGAATTCATAAAGTCTAGGTACCCTAGTGAAGAGTTCATCTGAACAATTACCCGTGAAAATATTTATAGAAAAGGCACAGGGAAGCTTCATTACGGCAGTGGGAAAGTGACCAAAGCCAGGATGCCTATTCCATGCAATTCTCCCATTTCATCATTCCTTGACATTCTCCTCACTTGTTATTTCTTGATTTACTCTCCTTTTACCATTCCATGCTTTTTTCCTCTTTTTGCCACTCTGCTCCTGTCTTGAATTCATAAAGTCTAGGTACCCTAGTGAAGAGTTCATCTGAACAATTACCGTGAAAATATTTATAGAAAAGGCACAGGGAAGCTTCATTACGGCAGTGGGAAAGTGACTAAAGCCAAGATGCCAGGTCAGGATGAGTAACATTGCAGATATTTTGGATTTTATCAAGAATCTCTACAGCAGGAGTACTGGACCATATGTGGCAGCAATATTCAAAGAATGGACAAATGGTAGACTCATAATTATGGAAGATAGATTCTGGAGAGAAAAATTGTCTAGCATGACACAGTGAACCAAGTTTCTTAGTAGGAGATCTAGCAATGGATTCAACATAATGCGGTTTTTAAGCTAGTATATATATATGTGTGTAAGCAAATATATGGATATAGATCCGACAGTATGAAGAAAAATATACTGAAAAAACAAACAAAAATCCTAATATGCGATTATGCTGTTTTAATGTTTAATGTCAATGCCGGACGTTTCGGTCTAATAGACCATCTTCAGGACATATTCATAAAACATAATTAACATAGACCATATACAATTCAACATGAAAAAGACGATGGACATAAAAGCAATACAGTATATTTTTCTTCATATATATATATAATTTAATACTTACTTGTCTTTTTTCTTGTTCTTCTTCATATGACTCTTGTGCTTAGCCTTTTTTCCTGACTTCTTAGCTTTTTTTTCTTGTTCTGATTGCCGCAGCTGCACCAATGGAGAG